TATATATATATATATGTATATGTATATATATATATATATATATGTATATGTATATGTATATGTATATGTATATGTATATGTATATATATATATATATATATATATATAATGAAGATGTGGGCGTTCATGTCATGTATTCTTGTATTGGCTTATCTGTCCATAGGTGCTAGTATCTCCCGAGTGTAAACTCAAAGTTGTATTGTCAGCCCCTGTCGGAAGCAGGCCCCTCGTCTCCTTTCTTTCCAGATTCAGTTGTGTATGTATACACCCTATGCACATAATACAACAGTTTATACTCATACTCACATCTGTTGTCCTGCCTCCAACAGATGCAAGCCTTTGAATCCCTTCATCTCGCCGTCTCCTCTGATACAAACTCAATCGAGGACATCGGTACAGACCGAATGAAGGAGTTACAGGTATGTATGTATTCAACAGTGCTGTAAATATGCATTTAACTCGGATAAGCTATATATATTTATATATATATATATTTATATGTATATGTATTTTTATATATATATTTATATATATATATATTATAAAACTGTGTGGTAGTCGGCCCATTTAGTGAGATTTTAGACCCTTAGTGAGATCGTTGTTGGAGTGCAGACCTATAGACTATAGACCGACTGACTTTTTATTGCCTCTGCAACCCAACTATTTGTCCCTACCTACTCCATGTAAGTCTGTGTTTTTTTGTTTTTTTCTTACATTTGTGAGATTTTAGGCTCGTTGTAGGACCATATATGACTGTGTCGATGCTGTCGCGTCTTATGATCGTCTTACCAGGATGCGGTTTAGATTAGAGTACAGGTCTGCGATGAAGATCGAGTATTAGAAACTCATCTAGGGCTCCATTCGAAAGCATATACCGATATAGATATACACACTTGCACAAGTTTCAATGAACATGTGTATATCTATGTGTACATTTCCTCGCGACGACATTCTTCTGCACTCATTGCACCTGTCTCTTACTTTCACATTCTGTTCCGTGTGTATGGCGTTGATTTGGCATGCACTTTTATACATCTACCTCCATAGTTTCCTCTGTGAAATTCTACTGTGTGCCCATTGTCGCCATGTATTTATATTCTTCTCGCAATTAGAACGTTATGGCTTGTATACTCATTGTACTCATTTATATATATGTATACATATCCTCATCGCAACAGAACGCGGTTCTGGGTATCACGCAGGGGTACAAAGAGGTCATCCGGCACGTAGCCGCTCTGAAGGAGGTCAATGAGAAGATCGCAAAGGAAGAATTAGACGGCATAGGTGAGGATGGTGGTGTAATATCTATGGGTGAATCCTAAATGGGGATGTGTGTGTGTTTCCCAATCTGCAGTTGATGTGCTTTTACTACCGGACTGACCCATCGATGAACTGATATTGAAAAAATTTGGTGAGAATGTATGTCGGTTTTCATTCTATGGACATTGCAAGAATACGAATTTATATTACTGATATTGTAGTATAATTTCTCCATGCCTATACGAAATATGCATGTATGTGTGTGGTAGTTGCATAAGAATACATATTAGAACATTCATGCATATACATCTACATCTATGTCTATATATATATATATATATAGAAGCACTCATATATATTAATAAAACTGAACTAATGATTATGTGTGCACGAGTAATGTTTACAATGTAATAGGAGAGTCACAAACAAACAGAGTTAAGTTGTATAACTCCCAGGAGAGTATCTTTTGGATTCGACTCAATATTTTTGTTATCGGTGTTGACCTCAAATCTCTTGTGGTACACAGGTATTTTGGACGATTTATTAAATGCCGTTTCCAAAGACGCAGATGATGTCGAGAACAAGATGAAGGTGTGCAGATTGGGGGTTTTTTTTTGTGAATACAGTCTGTGCTGTGAACCAGCTTTTATCTCCGGTGGCGCAAGCATTGAAAATTGATGACGTCTGTAGGCTCAATTAGATCCAATCAAGGTCCACGTACACGGGTAACGGACCCAATTTATTGACTTTGGAACAGGCGGAGAAATTTGAGGAAGGCACCATGAAGAAGGATGTCAAGTTGCAGACGGTGTTGGTGCTGAACGAAGATTCCGAGGGCCACCCCACAGAAGATGACGAGGAGGACGGAGATACCGCTGAGATGAAGGTGCAATCCAAATCACGAGACAGGTAGGACAGGACAATCGTGTGAAGAGAATGAGGGGATATAATGGTGTCTACTTCATCTGGAGTGCCCCATGTTTTCCCTGTCTCTGGAGCCTATATACATATATATATATATATATATATATATATATATGTGTGTGTGTATGTGTGTGTGTGTGTATGTGTGTGTATGTATATATATGTATATACGTATATACGTATATACGTATATGTATACGTGTACGTGTACGTGTACGTGTACGTGTACGTATATATATATATATATATATATATATATATATATATCGGAATGTAAATGTATGTGAAGGCACATCGCTCGTTTGGATTGAACTAGTTGCTTAGCTGTACGTTTTCTACCGATTGCTTCTGCAGTGAGACTCTTGATTACTTATCTAAACTCGGCCAGAGAAAATGTATATTCTAACCGAGACGTTTACCTACTCTCACATCTTCTTGTCAGTCTGTTTCGACCAAAACATGCGTACAGTGCATCCTTAATACGTATTCTCGTCTGTACGGTTTTCTTCCGTGTGTTTTCTTTTTGGGACGCCCTATGCTTCTTTGATTCAGGCAACAGATTCTCTGCGTTTACGTACCCGCACATGTTTGTCAGTTCTAAGATTTCACTTTTCTGCACTCGCTCAACTGTACGGCTTCACCCCTTTCCGGAACATTCGCTACCGTACTCCCTATCGTTTGACTGACCCGGACAACCATAAACACGTGCGCGCTGTTTCGTTTTTTGCCTCTCTTTTTTCTCCTTCGTGCACTTTGACCTTCGTACGTTTTCTCATATATACTTCTCTCTCGTCCGTATTCATTGCAGTGGGACACCCTACCATTTAATCGACCCAGACAATAACGAATACGTATTGGCCAGAGCGCACGACGCCACCACCCACTACGAAGACCATAGACTGTTATTAGACATGGTGGTTCTAATTATAGCTGTCTTTATAGGTAGGTGATGGAATGTCAGGCACCACTCACTACGAAGACTATATACTATTATTAGTTGTCGTGGTTCTAGCTATAGCTGACTTGGTAGGTAGGTGATGGAATGTCAGGCACCACCCACTATGAAGACCTTAGACTGTCATTAGTTGTCGTGGTTCTAGTTATAGCTGACTTGGTAGGTAGGTAATGGAATGTCAGGCACTACCCACTACGAAGACCATAGACTGTTATTAGTTGTCGTGGTTCTAGTTATAGCTGACTTGATATGTAGGTGATGGAATGTCAGGTACCACCCACTACGAATACCGTAGACTGTTATTAGTTGTCGCGGATCTAGTTCTAGCTGACTTGGTAGGTAGGTGATGGAATGTCAGGCACCAGCCACTACGAAGACTATAGACTGTCATTAAATGTGGTGGTGCTAACTATAGCTTTTTTATAGTTGGATGATCGAATGTCAAGCTGGTACTTTTGCTGTTTACATAGGTTGGTGATGATTGTCGGGCTGTTGGTATAGCTGTCTTCATTGTCTTAGGAGGGTATTGTGATGTACATGAATCTACTGATAAGCTCGGCTTTACTCGTGTGCCCCCATAGGTGCGTTCGTATGACTTTTCTTCCGTAGGCTACAGATTACCGATTGTTGTTGTGTATGATGTGTGGGTCACCGCTGTCCATGTAGGTAGGCTATGTAGGTAGGCTTTGGGTGTCAGACTGCTATTCCGTATAGTCAGCGACAATCTGATGTACTGATATTCATGAGCATGCTTGGTTGTCCTCATGTGCGCAAACGTGCATATTTTAGCGTCCTGTGAGAGTTTGCTTCTGGATCCAAAAATAATTAAACTGGGTGTTGTAGAAAGCGGAGATGATCGTAGCTATCTTTATTAGCAAGGGTCGTCTATGTCCGGCTATGCGCTCTACTAGTTACATTGGATCCAGGTTATATTTGTGTAGCATATCTATAATCATATAAAAGTAGTGTGGAAGTAACATATAAGGATGTAGTAACGCATGGGTAGTAGTCCATTAACGAGCTTGTATTTATCGTAATCGTGCGCGTATATGATATACACCTGTGCGTACATTGGCATACCTCTTGCATGTTGCACTGGCCAGTGTATGTGTGTATATATCCAGACTCTGAACCTCGCATGTCCTTTCTCGCAGGCATACTGCTGTGCACTGTTTTGGGGATGCCCACATTCTTCGGATCCATGGCGGCTGGAGTGGTCGTGGGACCGGTTGGAATGAACTACATAAACAGTCATGTACAGCTCAATACTGTGGGGCAACTGGGGATATTCTTTATTCTGTTTATACTGGGCATGGAGTTCAACCTGGACCAGCTGAGACAGGTAGGTATTACAAATAAACTTACATATACTAGTGAACGTAATATATATATATATATATATATATATATGTGTGTGTGTGTGTGTATGTATATATGATGTATTATATGTCGTACGTCATTCTGTGAGTGAATGTGGGTGTGGCTCGAAACATTCCAATTTCTATGTGAAAACAAACCAATGGCTCCCTACATTCCAGTAATTAATATGTAGAGTGGTTGTAATCTACATCAGTTTCTTTGTATATTCATCCTGAACTAGTACAACTCTTGTCTTGAGCTTACATCGTTATACCCTGCCCCCGAATCCTATTTCCTTGTATGCGTATCCCGATTTTCATACGCCAAATATTCGGCTCGTATCCCACAGACCTTCAAGACAAGTGTCTACGGCAGTCTGCTGATGGGACTGTTCGTGTTTGTAACCATCACCGTCATGGCCACATGGGTCGGGCAGTCATTCTCCACCAGTATCATCCTGTCCTGTTGTGTGTCTCTGGCCTCGACCGCAGTTACTCTCAAGCTGCTCAGTCCACAGGAGGTATGCTCACAACACAGTACTATCGCCAGTCTACCTCATTAGTCTGTTCCTGGTTATACTCATAACACAGTACTCTCTCCAGTCTACTTCATTAGTCTGTTCCTGGTTATGCTCACATCACAGTACTATCGCCAGTCTACTTCATTAGTCTGTTCCTGGTTATGTTCACTACACAGTACTATCGCCAGTCTACTTCATTTGTCTGTTCCTGGTTATGCTCACAGCACGGTACTATCG